TGGTATTTGAATAACAAAAAAATGAGTTGAGTGCAACTAATTACAATTTTTTTCTATGTAAACTTAACATATGATACATATAACATTATTTCTTGTTTCTCTTATGCTGTCTACATATTTTCATTCTCATGTATGTTCTCTTTAGATTATTAGAAGCAAGGATAGTTTACTACTTATGAAGTAGGGGAATTTTAGAGAATAATTAAAGATTGAATATATAAACACGTTCTTTATTTATTCAAATGTAGGAAATCCCTTGCAATAAGCCAACATAAACAAAGGAAATACATGCTCTAACTTACGGAACAAAAAAAATGTGATATTTTATGGAGTAAAATTTTTTTAATGTTTATTTTTGAGAGAGAGAGAGATAGAGACAGAGCATGAGCAGGGGAGGGGCAGAGAGAGAGGGAGACACAGAATCTGAAGCAGGCTCCAGGCTCTGAGCTGTCAGCACAGAGCCCAACTCGGGGCTTGAACTCACAGACTGTGAGATCATGACCTGAGCTGAAGTCGTAACTCAACCGACTGAGCCACCCAGGCGCCCCTGGAGTAAATTTAATTATAACTATGGATGAAGTATAATAGCACTCACATTTCATACTTGAAAATGGGCAGGTGTTTCATTTTTGTCCTTTTTTTTTTTTTAGGATTCTTATATATATTTTTGTTAGACTTTATAATATACCATTTAAAGTCAAAAATTAAGTTAATAAAAGAAACCTAAGCGTCCTGTTTTTTTAATTTAAATAATATTAACATATAATGTAATTTTAGTTTCAGATGTACAATATACTGACTCAACAATTCCATTCAACACCTAGTGCTCATCACAAGTGCACGCCTTAATCTACATCACCTATTTCACCCATATCCCCATGCACCTCCCCTCTGGTAACCATCAGTTTGTTCTCTACAACTAAGAGTGTTTCTTGGTTTGTCTCTTTCTCTCCTTTTTTTCTTCCCTTTGCTCATTTGTTTTGTTTCTTGAATTCCACATATGAGTGAAATCATATGGCATTTATCTTTCTCTGACTGACTTACTTCATTATACTTGCATTATACTCTGTACCTCTATCCGTGTCATTGAACATCATGAGTATTTTTATTAATGAATCAATTTATGTGTTTTCATTTCAAATCAATAAATAGGCTTATCATCTACTATTTTTAAACTATTATGGCAGGTGTGGCCAAACAGAAGTAATTCAATGCCATAATTTTAATGTAGCATAAATCCACTTGAGGAAAAGACACTATCAACATGTGCAAGGTTAAATTCTAAAATAAATTAGACAATAGTTAAATAAACCAATGTTGGAAATGGCATAACATTGTGCATAATCAGTTTCCAAGTAAATGTGCAAAAATGTCAGTTCAAGTTCAGAAGAGTAATATATCAGTGCTAGTTGGCCTTATCAGGGCAATCTTTATAAAAATATGGGATATAGCCTGTGGCTTGAAGGATCCGTAAGATTAAGGTAGATGAAATTGGAGGAGTTCAGCTTATTCAAAATAAGTTGAATTCTTTAAACTAATAGATCAGAATGGAAAAATATATTTAAAAAAATAATAATAAGGAGGAGGAGGAGAAAGAGCGGTAGAAGGAATAGGAGAAGAAGGAAACCAATTTATTTTGAGTAGGAGATTCTCATTGAGAAACTGGAAAACCCATCTAAAAAGATTGAGGCTTAGACGTATATAATGGACAGAATAGAATGAACAGAAATGAATATTTTATTCAAACAATTCTCATGATTTCATAGACCAATTTGTAAGTGGCGTGAGGGATTGAGTAGTGGATGGGAAAAACCAGAAGCACTGAATCCAGCTGGGGCCTTGGGTTGCAAACTTTGTACACAAAAGGACCTTTTTTTTTTTTTAATGAAATCTACCTCCGATCTCCACCATATAAAACAGATCAAAATGGCATCATTTTGGAGCAATGTATTTTTTTCAGGTCAGAGAAGTACTTACCTAGTCAATAGATGGGAATACAAATTTAACCAATGGAATTTCCTAATACAAAACAAAAATTGTTGTCTGTGACATATTTAAGGGTGCCTGTTTATGCTACAATATAAACAATATCTTGAAGGGATATTCCTATCAGAGTGCAACAGGGCGTCCAAACGAGGTCTTCAGTTTACAACTCACTGAGGTAGATTATTGCTGTAGCCTCAACAAAAGAGGAAAATTGGCAGCTAGAGCTGATATTATTCCCGGTAAAAAACCTCTCAGTATAACTATCCATCACCTACAGTCCTTCTCAGGACTGGTGAGGCCCTGCATGATCTGGCACATCCTCACCTCTCCTGCCGCATCTCTGGGCAACTCCCTTTATTTTCCAGCTCCTACCAGTTAGGGAACTATGTGAGTTCTTCAAATATTGTTATCTTTTCTCTTTCTCTGGGCCACCATATGTGTTACTTAGAATATCCCCTTTTCCTGTGGTCAGCATAGCCTTGTCCTACACCAAAACTAGTTTCACTCTCCCTCTTCCCTGTTTCTATAGTACTTGGCATTGTTGATTATTTGCTTAGTATCAGTCTGCCCCACCGGACTGCATGCTCTGTAAGTAGATGCAGTTACCTAGCACATGGTTATCAAGTACATGGATTATCGATTCAAGGATTTTTTAAATAGACTGTATTTGTCAGATCAGATTTAGGTTAACTACAAAACTGAGCAAAAAATACAGAGATTTCCCCTATACCCCCTACCCCCAGAGATGCATAACCTCAGTCACTATCCATGTTTCCGACTAAAGTGATACACGGTTAAATTGATGAACCTACATTGATATATCAGTATCACCCAATGTCCATGGTTTACATTAGGATTCATTCTTAGAGTTGTATATTCTGTGTGCTTGGACAAATGTACACTGAGATGTATCTACCGTTATCATATCATAGAGAGCAGTTTCATTGTCATAAAAATCCTCCATCCTCCGCCTATTCATCCCTCACTTCCCTTAACTTCTGGCAACCTCTGATCTTTTCACCGTCTCCATAGTCTTGCCTTTTCCAAAATGTCATATACTTGGAATTATACAGTACATAGCTTTTTCTGATTGGCTTCCTTCACTTAGTAATGTGTATATAATTTTCCATTAATTCTTTCCATGGCTTGATAGTTCATTTCTTTTTGACACTGAATAATATTCCATTATTTGGAAAATTTTCAAATTTGGCCTATGGATGAATTTTGTCACAGTTTATTTATCCATTCACCTACTGAAGGAGATTTTGATTGCTTCTAAGTTTTGGCAATTATGAATAAAGCTGCTAGAAACATCCATGTGTAGTTTTTCTTTTTTTAATACATTCAGCTTTAAAAAGGTACATGAAGACACTTGAGTAAAAATATTCGAGAACCATCTAGACATTTACGAGTTAGGATTTTTTAGGGAGGTCAAGACTACATATATACACTTGTAATAGTCATCTATTTTTAGTTTCTTTAATGAAACTTCTATATGGTAGATACTGTATCAGGTGCTAGAAATGCAAAGTTGAAAATGATGGAGCTCTAAGTTTAAAGAGCTCATAGAATAGTAGGAGAAAATAGACACGAAACAAGTAATCCCAATATAATATGGGGAGTACCACAATGTAAGTATTTTGGAGTTGCAATCAATTACATATGGCAGAGGCAGAGAATACCTCATAAAAGTGACAACATTTGAACTGAACCCAAAGGAAGAACTGGAACTCACAGGCAGATGATTTGAGAATAGTCATATACAGGCCCAGAGTTTCAAAAAAAATATACAGTAGGCTGATGTTGGGGAAATAGGTAGAAAGGTAGGCTGATCAGATGGGAAAGGGTTTTTTTTTTTTTTTTTTTTTTTTTTAGTCCCTGCTATTGAATTTGAACTTTTTTTTATAATAGTGATAATCAGTGAATAATTCAAAGTCTAGGTGTAATGTGAATGAAGACTTTAGAAATATAATCCCATTGTCTGCATGGAAGATAGGATAGAAGAGACGGAGATGAAATCCCAAGAGAGGAGGAAAGCAAGTTAATGAGCTAGTTCACATCAGAAGGATTCTGATCTGTGATTATGAAAGTAGAGGTGAAGTATTGGAGAAAGATTCAGTAGAAGTGGAATTTATAGGACATTCAATAATATTACATTCAATACATATTTTATTCAATAATATTGTTTATCCCATTCTTAAGTCTCCTTTTTAAAGCATACTGGGATCTCTCTGATTTATGAAAATGATAGTATATGGAGAAGGTGCAAATAGAAATGCCACTGATGTTGTGTCACAATGAAAACTGTTTGGGCTAATTTTCTATATTCCCTTACCAGAGTCCCTAAAAAAATACTCTCTTTAGAAGTTGTTATTTTTCTTTTTAATATGTATTTCTTCAGGCTAGCTTTTGAACGTCTGTTTTATAGATACAGGCAAGCATGAGTTTTCACTGAGGAAGTTAGAGAATCAGGAGCATCAAAGGGCCATTGAATCCATTTTGTAGCACAAAGTCTTAAAGACTGACATGTCATATGGACTGAAAGGTTGGCATAGATCTAGAATAAAAGTAAAATTCTCAGACACTTCTTTGATGATCCATATTGGCATACACAGGGACGAACAGGAGAAGAAAGTAGTTAAATCTGCAAGCACTAAGGCACTAAATTAATTCATTAATTGTCTGTAATTAGCAATTTGGCTTTTCCACATGAGTAAGTTTGTTAGGAAGTTATTGCCTTTTGTAACTGTGGGGTAACAATTAGCTAATAAGATCTTGTAAGAATAGATTGAGATATTGAGATAGCAGTAGTAATTGTGAGTAGAAATTAAGATAACAGCCAGGTGATTTACCGTGGTCCCACCAACAAACTGAAATCAGGACAAAATAAACCGAGGGAACGTTTTAGGTGCTGTTGTTCCCATGGTGGTTGTTATTTATTGCCAGTATGATTGTGTGTATGTGTGTATGGATGTGTGTGTTGATAGAGTTTATATTTTCTCACTTGATTTCAGTTATGACAGCGATAGCTGGTGTCCTCCATTACCCGTGCAAACATACTTACACCAGGGTATGGAAGACGAACTGGAAGAAGATGATGATCGTGTCCCGACACCTCCAGTCCGAGGCGTGGCTTCTTCGCCTGCTATTTCCTTTGGACAGCAGTCCACTGCAACCCTCACTCCATCCCCACGGGAAGAGATGCAGCCCATGCTGCAGGCTCACCTGGACGAGCTGACCAGAGCCTATCAGTTTGATATAGCAAAGCAAACATGGTATGTATTCTTGTTAGGTCAGGAGACCCATGCCTTCAGCACAGGGACAGAGGAGATGTTCTTTTGCAAGAAATTCATAAGGAGTTCTCATATAACTATACAGCTGAGGTTAGAAATGCTTCTTTGCAGTTCCTCTATCATCTGCGTAAAGAAATTGACCAAGAAAATGTTAAATAACTGGATCAAAGTCATATAACTGGTTAAGGAGTGACCCGGAGCCATGAATTCAGATCTGCTGAATTGTATGCTAAAGTGCCTTTGGCTACACCAGAATCTTTTCTGATTTACAGTTTAGCTTCGATTAGCTTATCCTTGAACTCACTTCCAGTGCTACAATATAAGGCTCCTTTTGGATTGTTCAAAGTGCCTGTGATTAATTCTGTATGTGGTCATGAATATGTAAATGTAAGCTTCTACAAATCACATACGGTCAGTTATTCAAAGATCCTTGGGCTGAATAAAATGAGACAGGAAGAAAAAACAGCAATATTAGTAACAGTAAGTGCATTAAAAAATAAAACCTAGAATAACCAAATTCCTTTTTTCTAATCAACCCATAACCTTTCCTTAGGTATTGATGGCAATCTACTTAGATATCCTGTGCAAGCATGGAAAAAATACGAGTGGGACCGGCTCTCACAATTTTATACACTCGTGGTTTTTTTTTGTTTGTTTTGTTTTGTTTTTTATGTGCGCTCTCTTCTCTCAAATAGTGACATATAAGTCTGACTCTTGAAAATGAAATCTCAGTGACATACCTCTGATTATCTTCTGTTGATTTCCACGATGTACTTGAAGTTAAATTTTTATGAAATAGTATTTGCTTTTTTTTTTGACACTCTTAGTTACTGGGATAGTTGATAATGAGATATATCTCATTCTCAGTGTTGATGAACTATTTATTTTAAAAATACAGCAAAATGTACAAAGAGATACTAAAACCAAGAGTATTCTTTAAAGCTTCTTATGAGCATAGGATCTTTTCTTAGAACCAGAGGTTTTTAAACATTTTTTTCTCAATCATCAGATGTGTTTTCAAAGGTCAAAGCAAATCTGCTAAACAGTATTATTTTGCATCAGGCTGCTTCATAAAATACCACTATTTAAGTTGAAGCCGACTGCTTTAAGAGCCAGAGGATTTCCTTCAGTTTAATGTGGCCATGTACTTCAGTAATTTAAGACACAGATTATAGCTTAGGTGTTCCCAAATTCACCTGCATTTCACCTGGATAACCTTAAAATATATTGATATGTAGTCCCCACCCTCAGATAGTCCAGATTGCCTGGTCGGGGATTTGACTGAGGGCAGTTGAGGTTGGGACAAGTAGCACTGTCACTACTTACAAGCTGTATGACACTGAGCAACTTAACATTTCTGTGCTTCAGTCTCCCATTTGTAAAATGATGATGATAATACCAATTAGCTCATATACAATGTAAGAGCATAGTCTCTAAGACCACTTGGTTTCAGTAATTCACTAGAAAGAACTATAGAACTCACTGAATGCCATTATACTGAAAGTTACGGTCTATTATATTGAAAAGATACAGATTAAAATCAGCCAAGAGAAGAGATGCACAGGACAGAGTCTGGGAAGGTTCCAAAGGTAGAGCTTCCAGTTGCCCTCTCCCAAAGGAGTTGTGGAAAGCATTACTTTCCCACCAACAACGTGTGACAATATGCATGGAGTATTACCAACCAGGGAAACTCACATGAACCTTGAGCTTCATGGTCTTTCTTGAACCTTTGTCATAGACATTGTTAGCTATCTGCATGGCTGACCTCAGTCTCTAGCTCCTCCAGAAGGCAAACTGATACCATGTGACTAAAAGCCCCTACCATAAATCACATTATTGGACTCTCTGGAGAAGCCTACGATTACCAGGTGAACAAAGACACTTCTATCAGGTAGGATATTCTAGAACTTAGAGATTACCTCCCTGGAGCACATGACAAAAGCCTAGCTTTTCTTTGGGCAAGGTCAAATTCTTTATTACACATCATATTGTGTGAGAATTAAATGAGTTCTTCCTGGCTTAGTCAGTAGAGCATGTGACTCTTGATCTCGAGGTTATGAGTTCAAGCCCCCACGAATGTTAGATTCGTGGATGTTAGAGATTACTAAAAATAACATCTTAAAAAAAATAATTTAATGAGTTTCCTCATATACAATACTAAGTACAGTATCTAGCTGTAATATAGCTGTTATTCAGAAGAGCTTGGGTTTTCACTTAAATTGTTCACTGCTGTATTTCCACCCTTAGAAGAGCACTACCCTTAGTGAGTGTTGCACAGATATATGCTAAATGAGTGAACAAACTAGTTCTTCTTTACCTGCTCCAAGTACCCATAGGGAAAACCCTGTTTCTTTCTCTGAGTATGTTTCTGTTCAGTCCAACAATCCTCCAGAGTGTCATTGCTGACTCCCTATGTAAAAGTTATGAACCTCGATGTACTCACACAGGATCTCACCCTTCAGGAATGGAATATGCTCCTCATCTGAGCTGTACATCAACATCACAGGAGGAATATTTAAGAAATAATAATTCCTAGGCTCCACCTCCAGGGACTCTGTATATATTGACCCATGTAGTGCATAGCACATGCTTGTCACTAGAAGATATTTGTAAATGTTTTGCACCCTCTTCCTATTTTAGTTTATCTCCTAATTCTGCTGAATTCAAGAAATATGTTTTTTTACATTAATGTATATTTGTTCCATTCAAGAGGTGTCAGCAATGATGTAAGACTAGAATGTCAGTTTATTTAGTACCTTCCAGGACCAAAGTGCACACCATTAGAGAAGGAATCATATATGTAAATATCACCTTGTATTCTCTTGCTCATGACTTGACTCAGTCCATTCTTGATTCACAAACAGAATTTTAGGCAACATTTACAGGATGTCATCATCAACACTCAAGATATTCTGCATTGGTAGTTAAGAAACTTTCTGATTTTTACATAAATGAGCTATAATGAATGTCAGATAATGACTTGGGACCTCATATTCCTGACCCATTAAGTTAAAGATGTGGACTTGATGATATTGAGGTGGCTTCTGGAACTAACATCTTAAGGGTTTTTTTTTCCATTGAAAAATTTATAATGTTGCTAACATTGGAGTTGGTTGCCAGTTCAAGAATGCGTTTGGGAGAGGGATGTTAAATAAATTCTGGACGAATGAAATAATTGCCCCCAAAATGCAGGTATTAAAAATAACCTTGTATTTCTAACTCAAAATATTTGGGTGAAAATGCATAACACTTATACATCTGCCTTAAATAGCCAACGTCTTTTAAATACTTTGTATTAAGGCAAAAAAAAAAAAAAAAAAAAAAAAAAAAAAGATTTACTGTATTAAGATATGTGGTATATTCACTCCCTAATGACAGGAACAAATAACAACTAACAAGTAACAAATAAGAATGACATATATACATATGTCATATGTATGTCATATGTATATATGTCATTCTTTGTTATATATATGTTATATATATATATATGTCATTTTTATTTGTTATATATATGTTATATATATGCCATTTTTATTTGTTATACATATATATAATGACATTTTATAATTCCGAAGAAAATATTTTTTTCTTAGTGTTTATTTTTGAGAAACAGAGCACAAGCAGGGGAGGGGTAGAGAGAGAGAGAGGGAGACACAGAATCCGAAGCAAGCTCCAGGCTTCAAGCTGTCAGCACAGAACCCAATGCGGGGCTCGAACTCACGAACCATGAGATCGTGTCCTGAGCTTAAGTCGGAAGCTTAACCAACTGAGCCACCCGGGTGCACCTAGAAGAAATTCTTTTTTTTTTTTTTTTTTTAATTTTTTTTCAACGTTTTTATTTATTTTTGGGACAGAGAGAGACAGAGCATGAACGGGGGAGGGGCAGAGAGAGAGGGAGACACAGAATCGGAAACAGGCTCCAGGCTCCGAGCCATCAGCCCAGAGCCTGACGCGGGGCTCGAACTCACGGACCGCAAGATCGTGACCTGGCTGAAGTCGGACGCTTAACCGACTGCGCCACCCAGGCGCCCCTAGAAGAAATTCTTAAGTAGTCACAGTGAATCAACTGAACCTAGGTCCAACTCTACATATTGCTAACCATGCCATTTGAAACAAGTCACTTAAGTTTGAGCATCCCTTGGGTAGGTTCTAAGAGCTGAAAATATGAATTCTGTCTATTTCACAAGGCTGAGATTGAAGATACACATGCATTGCAAAGGGTATGTTTAGCACACCTGATATTCTAAACACAGAAAATGCTGAGATGAACCTTTTATGTATTTTAAGTGTTTTAGACTTCAGTAGGTAAAACAGGGGCACAAATGAGTAGCCTGAACACAAAGTAGTCATTCCTACTTTAAACTGTGTTAAAGTGGAAACAACCAGCGGCCTGATTCATGGGGGAGCCTGCAGGAAGAAAGCCTTGTAGGTCAGTCAGTGTGCTCATGGTTGGGAGAAGGGTTATTGGTATTAACTCTTGATGTGACATCTTTTCTTCATACGGCCTCCACACAGGCTGAATGCAACTTCCACACTAAGCTGGAAACAAAATTATTATACTCTTATGGTACAAAAACAAAAACAACTTTAAATATTTGTGCAAACGTTCCTATTCTCCTTTGATGATTTATTTACACAAAAATACTAAGTCTGTATATTTTTTCTCTGTATATTACCCCATGAATACCAATAGAAGAGTGTAATAGTTTATATGGTTATGGTTTTGACTAGTCATGTATACATAGCCCATTGTCTCTTCTGAGAAACCATCATAAGCTCCAAAATTAGTTAATAGAAAGCAAGAAGAAAAAATTAGTCGCCGTAACATGCTGTTTAATTCTAATTATAATTTTGTGGGTTGTTAATGAATTCCCTCTTTTTTTCCTCCCATTTGAATTCTAGGCACATTCAAAGCAATAATCAACCTCCACAGCCCCCGGTTCCACCATTAGGTTACATGTCCGGAGCCTTGATTTCCGATTTGGAAACAGATGTTCCAGATGATGATGCTGATGATGAGGAAGAAGCTTTAGAAATCCCCAGGCCCCTGAGGGCACTAGAGCAGACACCCGGATCCAGTATGGACAATCTAGACAGCTCTGTGACAGGTAACGTAACTGATTTAATAGGAATAACTGACCTATTTATTACACTCAAATGCATCAAAAATCAGACACTTTCTTATGTAAGATTTATTCCACTCCAGCTATTTCTATAACATTTTAAATATGTTAATATTAAACACAAAATTCAAAAAGGATTTGGAAATACTTTTGCTTTGCTGCAAAAATGATAAGAAAATTCATGAATTTTAAAAAGCCTTAAAGACATGAAAGAAAACTCAATTATATCCAGGGCTTTCAAGAAAAGTTCACTCTACTGGGGAACCAAGTCTATTACATAAAAAAAAAAAAAAAAAAACCTTGACTTTTAGAAATGATATATTTTGTATATCAGGAGCAACATACAAAGTGAATGCAATCTCCAAACACTTCTTGATATTTCACTCTGTACAGTCATTCACTGATGAAAATAAGCAAGTCTTCAGAATGAGCCTCTCTAAGGTTGCATGAGGTATTGTGTGGAGAAAATGTATAGCGAGATAAGCCATATATTTACGCATTTCATATCGTTGGATTCAGTAATTGCTCCTCTCCCAAGTAATACAGTTATTTTTGCAGTTTACTCCTCTGGCGTCCTCTGGCTTTGTTCACTAAGTGAAATGTTGCAGATGTTGCAGTTGCTACACTCCTAAGATGATCCCAGGACTGCAACCTATTTGAAAGGATTTAAGTTTATCCAATTTTGTTGAAAAAACTTGAATCCTAATGTGTACACAATGAATCTGGAGAAATGTAAAAATTTAGTCTTTCTATTCCAGTAGATATCCATTCTTTGACACACATACATAAATGTCTCTTATGTGACTATAAAGACGCAACTACCCCAAATGTAGATCTTGCTTTTGCAGGCATTGGGTCTTCTCAGAAAAATCACCCATGTCTCTATTTACCTTGATAATATCATCTTCATCCTAGGAGGCGTGTACCGTGGTCCCATTTAGTTCATGTGTATGCTCCCAACTTGCAAAGATTTTTCACTCTGACTTGAGCCAACACTGAAGGAAACTTCTTTAGGACAGTGATGGAAAAGGATGAGGACCTATATGTTTCCTCTCTATGCCTTCCTGAATAATACAATGTGTGATGCAGGAGCCCACTTTTTTTGTTTTGCTTCTTACCTGGGGGCTGTCTGCTTGCCAGGCTAATTAAGATTTAAGAACTCCAGATATACTGCCGTGATTTGAAATCGAGATCCAACTGAAGGTGGCAAAGCAAAAGTTTGAGTCTTTGAATGCAGAGAGCTAACTTATTAGTGCACTATTATGTTAAGCCCTCTTGCCTGAATTTCCAGCATAATCTCCTTCAGGGTAAAATTCTGCATATTTTTGCATATCTCACTAATGATACTGAACTCCTCTCCATTAGGAATGCAGTACGAATTGCAATAATAGCACACAAAAAAGGGCAGCTATAGCCTATGTAGTCCTTTTATTAAATATTATAATGTCAGAGATGATAAATATATCTATAAATCAGAAGATTGCCATTTCTCACTTTTACATGCTCACCTGTTAGGCTGTCTAATGTGAACATGGTTAAAACCAATCTGCCTTTCTCCTTGTAGCTGGTATACTGTTCATTCCAAATGAAGCTTTTATTGCTAAGAAAACAGTCTGTTTTCCTACTTGAATTCACTGCTTAATTACTGCTGTATATAAAAACCTCAGGGTGTTTAGGTGTGTATTACATGATGAATTTGCCCTATGAATAATGCATCTTCTCAGTGAAAGAAGTTGTAGTCTACAGGAAGTAGCCAAAGGAAACTCTTTTCTTTCTTTTCTCCTTTTTTCTTTTCTTTTTTTTCTTCTCCTTTTTTCCTTTTTTTTTTTTTTTTTTTTTTTTTTTGCCTCTGCAGTAACTTTGTGGGGAAGGTATGGCCAAGGATTTAATTTGTTTTGTTTTCTAGTGTATAAGTGTAATGTAAGTAAATATAAATCCAAAGTAAATATATTTTCTTTAAAAAGTGTGTGTGTAGGAAGTGTGAGTGAGTGTGGGATGTGTGTGTGAAAGAATATTGATAGGGTTTGTGATTATAACTGCATGTGTGAGTGTATTTAGGGCTCTGTGTGAGTGTGTGTAGGTGTGTGTGGGTGTAAATAGGATTGTAAGCATATGTGAGTGTGTAAGTGTGTGTGTGCACATATATGCACATGTAAGCATACATGGGGATGGCCCTAAGGTGAATGTATGTATGGACCAAATGTTACAGAAATCAACATGCTGATGAATATTGTTCTAATGTGTTTATGTTTTCTTCAGACCCTTAAACCTAGTTTAATGGCCTTAATTGAGGTGGGCAGTAAAAACAGACACTGTTGCCATTGGCTTTTTATGTTTCTAAGATGGTAAGTGCCCACAGAGAGGATTCTGATTCTACTGTAATTTACTCAGGGTTCTAAATTTGTACGTGGTGTGAGGAATTCAGTCATGACTTTCACCTAAACTCTTTGGTAGAGATTTTCATTTTCATGAGACTAAGAACTATTTTTATTAAATGGGACAAAAGTTATATTCCATTCCCTGAAACTCTAAATCCAACCAGAATGATAGTCCAGTGGTAACACAGAGATGGGCTAAAAAGCCAGTGTGTATTTTACTTGTATATATAACATTCCAACACTTAATCACATTAAGGAATAAGTGCAGAGCCCATCTTTATAAAGAAATAATTATATAAATTCCAGATATTTTCAAAACAACTAAGTAATTTGTGATAGACATCTTAAATTTTGAAATAATGGTCCATGAATGGAAAAGCAAGAAGAAAGGAAAATATCAGCAGTTTCCTATTCCATAATCTCAATGTCTTAGTCTTGTTAGGCTGCTCTAACAAAATGCCATTGACTGGGTGACTTAACAAACATTTATTTCTCACAGTTCTGGAGGCTGGGAAGTCCAAGATCAAGGTGCCAGGAGATTTGGTTCCTGGTGAATTTCTCCTCCTGGCTTACAACCAGGTATCTCCACGCGTGTTCTCAAAAGGCAAAGAGAGACAGCAAGCTCTCTGGTCTTTTTTTAAAAGTTTGCTAATTCTGTCTGATGAACCCACCTTCACGACTTCATCTAAACCTAATTACCTCCCAAAGACCCCACCTCCAAATACTATAACATTAGGGGTTAGGGCTTTTAACACATGAATTTTAGGGAGAAATAAACATTCAGTTTCTAAAACAGTAATGTGGAAAATGTATTTGCAAGTCTACTATATTATTTATTTATTCCTACAACAAACATTTACCAAATGTCTCTTCCTTCCAAACTGTTGGCTAGGAATTTAAATATGATAATAATGATAATGATAATAATGCCATCAACAAGAAGAATACTATCTTGTGCATATATAGCCCTTAGTAAATGCAAGGCACTCTTCAAGCAGTGACCTGATTTTTTGTTGTGACTCCATGAGCTAAGAATGTTGCCTACATATTTAAACAATTGTAAGAGAACATGAAACAAACGAAAAGAGACAGCACAGATTCAAATATTTGGTATCTGGCACTTTATAGAAAAGTTTGCTGATCCCTGTCCTAAAGTTTTAACATATATTAAATCCCTTACCTATCACAAACCTAGTTTAGTTCTTATTTTACAGATACGGAAATTGGGTCACAGAGGGGTTTAACATCTTTTAAGTTTATACCCACCTGATAGGTGGCCAAAGAATTTTCAAAATAAGTATCTTACTTTCAAGATAAATGACCATGATCCTTGCTCTGGATATGACCAACTTTTTTTTTTTAATCTGTGAATTTAACATATTTAAAAGGAAAATGATCTCTTGGTCTATTACCTAACATGCAGATCTCTATCTCTGTCTTTCTGTGTCTCTCTTCCTTTCTGCATGCATGCGTGTATGTGTGTATATATATGAATATATATTCATACAAACACAACATATAATTTTATCTCTGGAAACATTAATCCTTCCCCCATGCACTTAATCAGAGTAAAAAATATTAATTTTTAGCTGTAGCCTTTATTACTTATTATCTTACATTTAGTTCTATATTCAGTTATGGTGACTCTTGCTAACAAGAATCATCTGTATCAGCACTTTTTGTGGGGAATCTCATTTTTAATTTATTTGTAGCATAATTTAAATCTCTTCGGTAGTAATAAAGTCTAAAACTATCTTGATTATAGCACATCACACCGATTTGGGCTAGAAAGTAAACGTATGGAATTATTTCAGTCTTTAGGAATATGCTTGCTATATGTCTTCCTAAATGCCAAATCCACCATTTTTGGGCAACAGGGTAGGGAGAGGAGTTAATACTTCTTTCTATATCTTTCATGATGGGAGTCAAGGGTAAGTGTTTCCTGCATTTAATGACTCCACCACAGGAAAAAAGAAACAGAAGGCAGTGTGAGAGAGGACAGAAGGAAAATGTCCTGAGCATGAAGCCAAGATTCTAACTGCTTCACTGATCACCAAAAGTACAACCAAGAGGGAAAGCCATGAAGTGAAATGAATAAAAGTTTCCTTAACTGTTGGACCCCACATAAATACCACGGCTGAAAGGAAATCACGGCTCTATATTTTCTGTATTTTATGTCTTTGGAGGTTTTACTGGAACTCCCAAACCAGATCATTTTGAACACAGTAAAACCTGGCAGCCTCACCACCTTACTCGACCACACAGCTTTTAGAGAATTGGCCACTTAAAAGTGTGACCTGATGCCTTGTTTTTGTTGCAAAAACTTAAGGAAAATATTGTAGTATTAGGAGAATTTCAGAGATGATGCCAAAAATAATGAAATCATTATCTTAGACTGTGATGTATTTAAAAAGAAATTAAATATTTACTTCAGATTTAGCAGATAAAAGGGGAACATCACATATTCACCTGAGTGGAGCAAGCTAACAGGTGTCATATGTCCCAAGGAAGACATTTTTTAATTGCTTATTTTGCTTTCATGTATATTACACATTCTTTCTCTCTCTGAGGAATGCAGGTGGAATTGTTGCATATTCAATATGTTTGAGGGAGAGAAGAATTTCTAAATATTACACATGTTTTTCTCCATTTAAGCAGAGGTCAATATTTGGATTGATTTATCCAAAGACAAGTATAGCTGAAGATTTTACTTAACACATAGACTGATTGCACTTAATAGGAAGGGTTCCTCGATTAAATATTGGCTGAAAAAATGGGGGACAGCCAGTTTTTGTATCTCATAAAAATGGTAATGCAACAATTAGCAGGGTCATATTATAAAGCACAGACTTTACTCTAGCTTAATGGATCTAAGGATAAGCATTTATCAGCAAGGAAGGATTTAGCATAAAACGACATGTAAATGAATTGATGACTGATCATAAATTAATTTTAGTGCTGAAGATGTAATAGAGACACAGAAAGATGCCACTTTATCATGGTATTTTACTGCTCAGTAACATTTGAGCAACAACTTAATGTCCTATATGCAGTTCTTCTTTAATAGCTTGAATAAATTTGAGATTTTTTTGGCCTTTCAGCAACTTTAAGCCTGAGAAATTTCAGAAGATTGAAAATGTAAACACAAATAAATTTGGCTATGTGGCATAAATTCATTTTTCATTAAATGTTTAAATATGTATTGATTATGTTTGGGGCTATAACATGTCAAATTGGATGGATTGTGTATAATTTGTAAAGAATCTCTACCTGAACTCTTTCACTTCATGTTCATTTTAATTTTTTAAAATTTATTTATTTACATTCAAGTTAGTTACAGGAGTAGAACCCAGTGATTCCTCACTTACAGATAACACCCAGTGCTCATCCCAACAAGTACCTTCCTTAATGTCCATCACCCATTTAGCCCATTCCCCCACCCACCCTCCAGCAACCCTCAGTTGGTTCCCTAAATTTAAGAGTCTCTTATGGTTTGCCTTCCTTTCTGTTTTTATCTTATTTTAATTTTAATTTTTATATTTACCTTTATGAAAGTAAACCAGTTATCCCCAAACTTGCTTACTTTCTAATTCATGAATCAATGTTTTTCTTTTCCTCCTATCATTGTCTTCTTTCTTGTAATGGTTTACATATATGTTCAGATCATTCTTGATGCTTAAATCTAAAGAAAGAACAAGCATGGCAGCCACAGGGTAAATCAGTGATTGCTAAATAAACTTTAACAATTTTATATGGTGCCTAGGTGACTCAGTTAATTGGGCATCTGTCTCTTGATTTTGGCTCAGTTCATGAGCATAGAACCTGATTGGGATTCTCTATCTTCCTCTGCCCTTCCTCCCCATTCATGCTTTCTCTCTAAAATAAATAACATGAAAAAATATATTTAAAAAACAATTTTACAACATGGATGAGATTTAATTTATGTTATATGTTTTTAATTCATGATGTATTGTCAATTTTCTATAAAAATGTTCTGCACAAACGCACCCATTCCATATATCACATTTAACTACAGAAGAGGGGCTATCAAAGATAAAGTCCAAGGGACAAAGAAAAAAGAAAATTTATTGCCTTCTTTTGATGTGTTTCCTTCTTGCTCTCCATTTGAAGGTGAACTCAACTATAGGAACTGAGGGCACTTGCCTCTCTTTAGGGATGAGGATTCCTGTGGTCCACCGTGGCCAAATCTATATGACACATGTGTCTTCAACTCTGAAGTCATCTATCTAATTTCTTAGCTCTTACATAGAGTAGTAAAGAAAACAGAAGTGGTGTTCTTTCTATATTGACCAAAACCTACGTGAAGCCATGTCTTCCATGCTACTCTCTTTTCCCAGAGAAAGAAAAAAGAAAGCACCAAAGAAAACTTCATGAATAACTGGGATTTCTGAGGGCATGGAAAGTTGCATTAACAATCGAGATAAACTCAGAGCAAAGACACAAAGGCAGGAAAGTAGTTGGTATGTTTAGGGACTGGCAAACTGGTACATTGAAATCCTTATATGAAGGACTCACTATCACAGGAGATGAACAGAGTGTTTTTGAAAAAGTCAAGCTAACTCTGTTAAGAGATGTCCGTAAGTGGCATTTCTGTAGTGGCACTGCTGTGGTATAGGATTTTTCCTACATTTTCAGGTTCAGAGACGATTTGTCAAAATGTCAAATCCTCAAGCTGGAACCACACAGCAAGCCAACATTAACGGGAAAAAAACAAAAAGACTCAGTTATTTCAAAAATGGACTGAATACATTAAGATAGATGGTTGAGTGTGGATAGATAGTTCAGGAGAAAAAAAAGTAAATTGCCACTTAATATAACATTATTATCTTACTTTGATCAAGATATTGACAAATATCTATATTCAAGTGTATCAAAGCATAGCCAAGATATGTATATTAATCATTTTTAAAATTTTCCCTTTTGGGTAATAATTCACTTCTTTTCCTGTTTTCCAAGTTATCAACAAAAGTTGACTGACATTATATTCCTTGTTTACTATATTTTTTAGAAGTTCTTTTGAGTACATTTTTTCTATAAGTATCATAAGTTCATTGCTGGGAAATGGCACAAGGGATAGAATCACATAGAAATTATGCTGAGTAATGAGAATGTTGAAGACATTTAATCCAGTATGCCTAATGTTTGTTGAAACACCTATAGAAAGCACCTATAGAAAACAAAACACCTATAGAAAAGCACCTATAGAAAAAATATGAAAATAAGTAAGAGTCCCTAATTTCTAGAGTTCCACTGTCTAAGAAGAAATCTTTATGTGAAACAAACTATAGTTTGTAGAGACCTGATGCGCTACTGTATGCATAGTGTTTGAAAAATACAGGAAGCAGAGAAATTGATTCTTCCTAAGACAGAGTTCGAGGTGAGGTGGAATCAAGGTGATAGAAGGGATATTGATTTGGACTTTAAAGTTTGACAGTGGTCCATAGAGTTAGTGACAATCCAGAGATGTGTTAAGGAATGAGAGGTAAGGCTACATAGGGAAGGCAGTGGGAGTACACAGGCTATTAAGAGGGTCTCGGGCTGGAAAGGCAGGCTGGACTACATATTGAAGGATCTCAGATGCTTAACTCGTTAGCTGAATGTGGCGCTGGCAAACTAGGTAAGGTTTTGAGTGAAGGAACCAAGTCATGTGATAGATGAGAAAAATAGTTCAGATGACGCTGAAGATAAAAGGGACCAGAAGGAAATCAGGAGGAGCTTAGGAATGAAATTGGAGATGTAGGAAAGGAGATGCTTGTTTGGAGAGTGAGTTTCAGATAGCACAGATTTATTTGCAGATGTTCAGCAGACCTTTAGAAATACAGAAAACAGTACATAGCAGGGACAGGAATGAGCTTTCATGTATTTCAAAACTATCCTCAGTTCTAGGGTTTCATATTCTCTGGTGATCATGGACTGAATCACTTTGATTTTCTTTTTTCTTATCTACCGTAGCATTATACTGCAAAGCCCATGACATCATTTCTTCCTTCGTTTTGGGCTGTTGGTCCTTGACTTGTGATTATTAACTCAGAAATGGTTCTCTCAGAGGAGGCTCGGTTGCTGGTGTTATCTGCGCTTCCTTGCAGTGGCCTGTGTCAGGGGAATTTGTTTGGAAAGTAAGAAGTGTATCCCTGTGCTCTTGGCAAATAGAATCAAAGCTCTTATCTTTCTCTGCTACACTTAACACCCTTTTAGCTTCTCAGATTCTTCTAACCCCTTTGGTTTCTATTTTCTCTCTCTCTTGCAAGTGCACGAACCCGTGTTACTGTATCCTGGGACCCAGACTACACATACAAATACTTCATCACAGCAACACTCCTAACTATACTGTTGTCTCTTAAACATTGGAGAAAAAGCGGGGACCGGGGAGGGAATCGCTAGCATTTGAATTTAATCTCTTTATGTGAATATGTGATTGGTTTATTTAGAAAAACTAAAATTAACTTCTTATAAATACTTCTTTTTGCCTTCTCTTTATAAAACTTAGGCTAAGCCACACTTGGCACTTTACTGTGTCATGAAGTAATGGTATACAACTTAAATAAATATTGTAATGTTAATTATATTACATAATAGATTATGGTTTCAGTATTACTTGGTCGAGGAAAAAATATAAAATTGTAAATAACTTGCCAAAAAATTAAGAATGAAAGTTATTTCTCAGTGTGTTCATATTTTGCACATCAAAGGGTGATTCTTTTCCTCTATCACCATGTTGTATTTTGCAGAAAAATCCATAATAATGCCAATTGTATTCTTCATAATGGTTAATTTTCTAAGACAAAGACTAGCAACAAAGAGAAAACTAGAATTCTTAAAACAATTAAAATACCAACAAAGTATCCTGAGCTTTGAAATTCATAGAAATTTTCAAAGATACATTTTTTTCCTTTTGTTCTAAGTCTATTTGCTCTGATATCATTTATACATTTTTTTTTGGTTTATAATGTTTGTTGTTATATTTCCTGATTATTTAAATTTGTATTTCAAATCCTTGGAATAATTCTAGCACTTCCCCAGTATACAAGCGTATATTTAATGGAAATTATTAAAGCCAACACTAAATTCACGATATATTCACACTGTTTCTTCATCTGAGTCTTTGATAAGTTTACGCACTATAATTTACTTCCACAAAAGCAAAAGCGTTCCTCCCTGAATTGTAGGACACAAGATATACATAGTAATTCTCTTTTGGAAAATCAGTATGTAAGGATTCAAACAATGTAAGAATGGAACCCTGTGAAACATGTTTTGTTCACGTGTTGCAAACAGATACAGGTTTTAAATAACACTCATTCTTCCGCGCTGGGAATGTGTAAAACATGGATGATGCTTGCATGTGGCTAGAGAAGTGGTGATGAAAGCAGACTTGCCTCAAGGAGGAGTGAGGAATTGAGGCAGCTTATTTGTTCCTTAGCAGAGTGTGTGCAAACAGATGGGCTATCCAATATATCCCACTCACTAGACAACTACATTTGTTTTTAGGTTCAATGGTAAATGGATGGGGCTCTGCATCTGATGAGGATCGTAACTTTTCTAGTCATAGATCTAGTGTAGGTAGCTCCTCAGATGGCTCCATCTTTGCCAGCGGCAGCTTTGCACAAGCACTGGTGGCAGCAGCAGATAAAGCTGGTTTTAGGCTGGATGGAACCAGCCTTACAAGAACAGGTTGGTAGACTCCGAGTCAACACTCTTTGCATGAGAGATTCTCATCCTTTAGACACCGAGCTATATTTCTCCTGTTTCTTTCTCTTCAGTGAGTCTGACGGCAGGGCTTTCTTTAATATGCATGACCACGGTTGGGATCCTCAATTACCAGAACTCTCTTCTGATGCTACTTTTGCAGAGCCAAGAATAGGCTCCTACTCACCACCTTCTATCCTTTATTTCCCTTTCCCTTCATGGCTCTGCTGATTAATTGGAATATGCTTCCTTTCTATATTACAGCCAAGCTGCAACTGAGATTGCCATTAAATTTTCAATAACTCACACTTTGCAAAATTCTCACACAATCAATAATGTGCCCAGTGATTAAAATTATTCAGCTTTTATCTCCATTACTTTCCTTTGCCCCATTTCTTTCTGCAAATGCGTTTTCTGGGAAGGCTTCCTCAGCATGGGGTGACTGGGTCTAAGGCTGTCAGTCTAACAGTTCAAATGGCTGATGGTCTTATTAATTGTTTGGCTGTTAAAATTTTAACCCAATAATGTATTATTTGTTTTAAAGGATGCTAATTAAAGATACACCCACTGCATTTGCAACTCGAATAAAATGACTGCATGTGTATTGCTCTGTAGCATAATCTACTTTGGGTTTCTGAGAATAATCGAGTACCAATTGTATAATTTTTCATATATCTGATTATTTTCCCCAAAATGAATATGAGAGTCATTCTAATAATAGATCAGTAATTTGTAAGTGTTTGTTTTACTGAAAAAAAAAAAAACTTTGGCATGATCCATGCTTTTATATGACTGTAATTCTTAAATGCACATATAAGAAGGTTCTACTATATGAATTAAATTGAACTACCTTACAAAACAAACTAATGAAACTTTAAATGCATTTTTGAAATCTTAATAGTATTCAAATAGCAAAGTGAAGAAAAACGATTTTGACCCTTCACTAAACTCTCAGGTTATAAAAATCAGTCTTGGACATTTTCTTTGAATTATAACATCAGTATTTCTTTTGAGTATGCATTAGGAATCGTCAAATGGTATAAAAAATTTTCTCCAAGCATTGCAGAGGTTTATTTTTCATATAGCATCCGAACTAAAGTATGTTGTAATATAATGGTTATTTGAATTTTCTTGCTTTATAAGGCATAAGTCAGAAACTTTATGTTGCCTGAGTGTTTTTTTGTGGCTAGTTGTAAGCACAGCAGTGAGACAATGCAAGGAAACTAATAAATTAGAAGGCATAAGTGCATTTCTTGCATGTATGCTAATATCTAATAAAGCATTAAGCAATATCATGTCACATTGACTTAAGAAAATGTAACTACATACAATAATTTTGTGTGAAATGAAAACGTGCACAAGAGAATAAATACATGCACATAAACCGACCCTCTCTCACCATAATAAACACTGTATTGAAATCATAAGATGTTGAAAATTTATTAGCTACCCTTTTCACAAAATAAACTTCCCTGGGTATGTACTAAAGCTCAAAAAAAGGACATAACACAATTTCATTTTGCAATGAGAATTTGGAGTCTGCTCAGATACAATAATATTCATCAGAAAATACCTATTGCACTTTGGATATGCAAGGTGGTTTTAACCTGCTATCTATCCTATATTATACACTAATACAATTGAGTTTCTGTAAAAGAAGTAAAATTCATCGTGTATTTATATGGGTGATAAGGTCAGTTTAATATATGTCTTTGAGCAGACCTTTCATGTAAATTTTCAAATGCATTTACTTCAACACATTTCTTCTGTGCTGAAAGTGAGTTTATAAGATTCCAAGGATAAAATTTGATGAAGCAAATAAGACAGTACATAATTCATTTCAGAAGTAACTTCCTTAATTTTAAGAAGTAAAAGCAGCATTAATTTGCATATATCCATGAAAATATCACTGAGATCATCAAGGTTAAATAATAAACCAAGTAATCTCAAGCTTTTGGTTGGTGGATTTGTTTTTTTATTCATTTATTAAATTTTTTTTCAGCGGGTAGTGTGTTGGTTACTAAAAATTGGATAAAATGAATGCAACAGGGCATTTTTTTATGGAGATGCACCAGTATTTGGTATCTTCAAATGGCATCTCTAGGCAAGTTTATAGGTTAGTCTAAGTAAGAGCAGAAATACAAGACACGCACAATCACTGCCTTGTAACATCCTCTGTACCACATTCCCTTTATTTTCTTTTTAGGCAAAGCTTTTACCTCCTCTCAAAGACCTCGACCAACCAGCCCATTTTCTACTGACAGTAATACCAGTGCAGCCCTGAGTCAGAGTCAGAGGCCTCGGCCCACTAAAAAACACAAGGGAGGGAGAATGGACCAACAACCAGCATTGCCTCATCGAAGGGAAGGAATGACAGACGGTAGGTTTGTTTCCTTGTCTCTTGTCTCCTCACTGAAGAGGTGTGCTCTGTGCAAGTCATTAACCTACATTAAAGTAGCTATGGTAGATTAGGCATCGCCTAATTACGTAACAAGGCAGAAAATCTAGCAATATGGTCTTGTTTAAATAAAACACCCTCTTTTTTTTCTTTTTAACAATCTGGAGTTATTTCTATATTACCAAGCCCCAAGAAATGAATGCCATACCACTTTCCAATGTTGATTTTGCTACCATTCTGGAGTTTTCCATCAATGCTTTTAGTGAACATTCCCTTTTGAGATTAGGGAAAAAAAAAACATAGGTAGCATGGGCACTTGGCATGCATTTCTGATACTAAATTTGGAATATTTCTGATATCAAATTAAGGTAACTTCAGTGGTATTTCACTTTTGAAAAAGACCGTGAAATGATTTGTAACTTAGTAACTTTTTTTAGTTTCATGAATTTCAGGCCTAAAAGCTAGCTACAGATCAGCGAATGAATGGGTCAGCAAACTTTTCTATAAAAGTCCGGATAGTAAATATTTTTGACTTTAGCTGGCCATACAGTCTGTGTCACAACTATTCACTGCCATTGTAGTCTGAATGTCGCTACAGAAAAAAATAAATGAATGGGTGTGACTGATTTCCAATAAAACTTTATTGATAAAACAGGCAGTGGCTGAATTTGGCCCATGGCCCATTTGTTGATCTATTCCAATCCTTTTATTTATGTATAGCATTCAGTCTTTGCACAGCAAACACTGTTGGTTTCAGGAAGCACAATATTCCTGGGACATGTCCTTCTTCAATAAAGAAGAGTTCAGTAGCTTTACAGAGCAGGATTTATCTCCCATATGTTCAACTTAATTCTCATACATTTAAATGTAGGAATACAACTATTTATCATGAAGTTTTATTCTAAGGAATATTTAAGATGATATATGTAAAGAGCCTAGTTTGATGTCTGAGCCAAAGGTAAATTTGTTCCCTCTTCTCAGCACTATCCCCTGTAAACACACAGAATTGGTATTGAGGTAGTTCTACTAAACACCACAAGAGTGAACCTAGCCAATCTGTGCATTAGAACAATCTAGGGAACTCTTAAATTGTACTCTGGAGATTGGGATTTAATTGTTCTGGGTGAAAACCAATTATGAGTGTTTTTAAAGCTCCACAAGTGAATCTAACGTGCAGCCAGCATTGAGATGCTGTGAGTGAGTCCTTAGCATTCATTTTACTCTCTTGGACTTACCATTATAGGACAGAATGAGGCCTAGTTGGGAAAGAAACATCTGTTCTTTATTAGTTTGGGTGGGTGGGGGAGGTCTGTATCTGGCAGCCATCTTTGTGATTTCTTTTGTCATTTTTTAAGGCAAGGAAGATTTTAAAAGTCAAACATAACTTGTTCTAAAAGCTTTTAGGTTTCCTTATCTTTCCTGTTACTTTGTTTTCATTGGGAAGTGTTTTATGGAATATGAGGGCAAAGGTACACTTGAGATTTTGGTGCTTTATAAGCGAATATCCTGTGCTGAACAAAAATGCTCACCACTGCCTCGCTGCCTCAGATGGTCTGAAGATTAGTTGAGCACTTAAAGCAGTCAGTAGTGTTGATCTTATACTCTCTAAATAAAAAGGACCACTCCCACTGGTATGCTACTTATAAATCTCAGAATTAATAATTTTGTATAGTTTTTCTGCTATGAATGTTGTGGAAAAAGAGAAGAAAAACGTTTTTTCTGAAATGTTTGAAGATTATATCCAGAATATGTGGAAGGTATAAAATATAAATCAACAAAATAGAGAGCTCTCCTTTTCTTCCTAAAATTCTTTTCTTGCAATTTTTAGCAGAATGTCTGGTTAAAGCAAGCATCCACCTAGTTTAAAGCATGATCAATACATTGCTTATCTTTCTCAACAACTAATAGGTTCCTAACTTTTAAACTTGCCAGCATCGCAAAGCCAGGTTATGGATTATGTGTTGTTAGTAGAAATACTTTGGAAGTAGTGATATTGCAAAGGGAATTTTGGCTCCCATGTCTTCCCAAGTGTATGATCCAATGATGTTTTATTTATGATATGAGGGCATTAATTGCAGATGACACTCTACAGATTATCCTTAAGGATGTTGCTATTTTATAGCAAATGTATGTGTCATAGCATTTATATGGTATCAATCCAGGCATTAGTAATAATTTTTTTATTATTTGTGTGTGAAATCAAACCGTTCTTTTGGGGCAGGTTGCTGTTTAGCAGCACTTAGTGCCTAGACATTTTTACACTAAAACTTTTGCTTTATACATTTTAAAATTGTATTTTGTGAGTAAATTAATCAGAATAATTACTGCCAGCTGCTATACCAAAGAACTATCCCTCAGTGGCTCAGCACCGCAAAAGTTTGTTTCCCATGAACATAATAATTTATCAAGGTCAGGTGTCTCTCCTCTAAGTACTAATGTAAGAAAATATGCTTTTTCAGTATTGGGATACCATCATTTTTACAGTGCAACATTTATGGCTTCTGAGTGAAGGGAAGACAAAAACAGAGTGATCACTTGAGACGTTCTCTGGTCAGGCCTGCAACTGGTGCATATCCCTTATCATCTCACTGACAAGTACACTGTCACATGACATCAGACTAACTACTGGGAAAGTGATATTCTCTTGTGTCTAGTAAGAGGAATTGGGAATGGTGGTAAACATAAGGCTCTGTCTTAAAGACTATGAAAAAACCCACACACATGTCAAGGAACATTCTGCTCCTTTGAATTCTCTTCGAAGCAGCCATTGCTCCATCCAAATCTTCTCTTCTACATGCATAAGTCAAAGAATACCTTTCCAAGCCAATATATTAACCAATACTGAAGGAGGAAGGCAGAGGAAGTATTTTCCTATCCATCAACCTTTTTTCCCTAGATCAGCTGCTTCTAGCCTGTTCTCCCCTCATTCCTAATGTCCCGGTTAGAGAACTTTCCTAGTTCTGCCACAGACTGTCTTGGACCGTTGAGCGAATTTCTTTATTTATTAATTTGTTCATTCAAATATTTACTAAGCACATAACAAATGATAGGCAATGGAAACCAAACAGACAAAATTCCTTGTCTTCCTGGAGTTTACATTCTGTTGAGAGAAGATAGAGACAAACAAACAAAATAAAAGTAGGTAAGATGGTCATAAGTGTCATGGAGAAAAAACATAGGAAGTTGAGAAATACAAAGGTTAGGTGAGGTCTTTTTTAAGTAGAGTCTCAAGGAAGGCTTGACCAAGAAGATGACATTAGAGAAGACTAAAAGATTAAAAGGGAAAAAACAATGCTGATATCGAGGAAAAGTCATTCCAGAAACTGAGAACAGCAACTGGAAGCCTGAAGCTTGTTTGATAAAAAGAGAAGCAGTGTGACTGAAGCAGAGACAGCCACAGAATAAAATGTAAGGTTAGACAAATAAGCAAGGACCAGTGTTTGTAGGGCTTTAAACTTTTTTAATGTTATTTTAGAGAGACAATGAGAGACAGAGCACAAGCAGGGGAGGGGCAGAGAGAGAGGGACACACAGAATCTGAAGCAGGCTGCAGTCTCTGAACTGTCAGCACAGAGCCCAATATGGGGCTTGAACCCAAAAACCATAAGATAATGACCTGAGCTGAAGTCAGATGCTTAAGCAACTGAACCACCCAGGCACCAAAAGACCGTCAACTTCTATAAGGGCAATGGCTCTTACTTTGAACAGGAAACCACTGAAGGGGTGTATGTGTGTGTGTGTGTGTGTGTGTGTGTGTGTGTGTGTGTGTGTTTAAGGCAGAGGAGTAACATGATCTGACTTATATTTTTATTTTCTTTTTATTTTTTTTTAAAGTTTATTTATTTTGAGAGAGAGAGTCCATGTGCTCCCAAAGGAGGGATGCACGGGAGGGGCAGAGAGAGGGAGGGAAAGAATTCCAAGCAGGATCCCAATCTGGATGCAGGGCTTAAACTCACAAATCAAATCATGAGATCATGACCTAAGCTATAACCAAGAGTAGGATGCTTAACCGACCGATCCACCCAGGCGCCCCGTTTTTATGTTGAGACAGATTAAATGCACTTCTACGTGGAAGCACAAAAACCACATAGCAGGTTGTAGAAGTAATATAGGGAATTGATGTCAGAGGTTTCTACCCAGGTAGAATCAGTGGAAGCAATGAGAAAGGTTGAATTCTGGCTATAGCTTGGGATTGGTGCCACAGGATTTGTTACTGAAATTAAATACAGGTTGTAAAGCAGAGATGTCAACGATTATGCCAAAGTTTTGGTCATCTTGTAGAATGCAATTGCTACTATTTGAGATGATGAACACTAGAGAAGAAGCATGTTTTGTCAAGGAAGGTCCAGGGCTCAGTTTTGATATGTGAAAGTAGATGCTTTCTAAATAAGTAGAACACCTAAGTGTGGATTTAGTCATGTGAGTCTGAAGTTGATGGGAGGAGAGATCCAAGCTGGAGGTATTTGATTTCTTTTTGCCTTCTTTTTTTTTTTTTCTAAAAAGTGGATAATAATGGCACATATTTCATTGGATTGTTGTGTGCCTGATAACAGCAAATCCTGAGTAAGCCAGTAAGAGACTCGTTAGTGAATTAATTTAGTCAAAATGAATCAACATGGAAATTAATAATAAATTTAAGTAAACATATTTGATTACGTATTTTTATTTTTTCCACAGTCATTCTTAATCCCATCTTTTTCCAATTCGTTTATTTCAATGTGCACGCCATGTACTTTCTTCTTAGAGTATACAAATTCCAAGTATATGACTTAATTATGTAGCCATATAATTTCAGGTTAAATTAAATAGTAATCAGAATTTCAGCTAGCATAAGCAGATGCCATTTTGTCCATTTTAAAAATGAAGCTCCTTTGATGGAGAATAAAAATCAATGACAAGATATGTTATTTTGAAAGCAAATATAATAATTTCCCCCCTGCTGGCAGTCTTAAGGCCAAACACTCCAATGAAATGATTGCTTTACATTTATAATAATACATACTGAAGGAAGTCAGATTGAATATAAAGGAAACACTACACCCCTTGGTGGACTGTTCTATGAACAGATATCATGATATTGGATTAGCTCTTCATTTTGGAAGAAATTTTCCAAATGCAACTGTATTCTCCCAGATGGAAATCTTGTTCCCTTCAATAATTAGTAATTCATAATCTACCAAGAGGACATACGTACGAATTGGGAATGCTGCTTCAATATGGGAACTCCCAAAGCAGATGCAGAGGAGAGTGTTATTGTCAATTCAGTGGAGGACAATATCGTTTTGCTCGTTAAGAAAGAAGGTATAAAGCTTCTTAATAAAGTCTTTAAAGAGAGCAACTTAGCCTTTCTGGAGGAAGCCTGTCTTTTGTACACGAGAAATTTATACTTCTTCCTTTTAAGTGTCACAAACAGTACTCTTAGAAATAAGAGCACAAATACAACAATGGCGTGGGAAATAATGGACTATCTATATGCAATATTGTCTATTAATAATATAAATATGTGTATTATATATGGTATTTGATTTTATGAACCAATTATATATCACTGAAGTATATAATTAATATATCAATATATATTGCATCAATATTATATCAATAATAATTGACATTATGTAATCACTGATATTCTGAGGATGAACAGAGAAGTTTGCAGTCGTATACCAGGAAAATTACAAGATAATAATCCAAAAGAATGTTTAGAATGTTCAGGAGATTTCAAAATCTTCAACAAAGTAATTCTAGAACTAGTATAATGGCATAAATCATATAATAGAACTAATATAATACTTAAAGAAATATGAAAGAAGAGACTATGATATCACAGTTGAAGACAAATCAAAGTATAAAGGTGTCATGATCCAAACAGCTAACTAATAAAAGGAAAATGAAAAATTGGCTAAGCATTTGAACTTTTTAGTTTTTTCACATCTTATATTTAATTTAAAGAGCTTTTTGGCAAAGTTATCTATTCTACTACATCTCAAATTTTTATGATGCATTGTCTACTCTAGCACCATGAGGCATATTCTATCTGTACTCTGAACAGTGGTTATTACTTATTAAAATTAATACATTGGAAGATTATAATGTATTAGTTGTAACTCATTAGCTAACTCATGAAACGAACAGCCAGAATTGGTTGTCAGGCAGAATGTTAATTGCATTTAATAAATGTTAGCTTAACCCTTTGACTGTTGCTAAATGTACCACATACATGGGTAAAGGCAGTCATATGTTGCATATGATACGGCATATAGTTCTTAATTTCCCGAGGGCAACATTTCCTATGGAGATTGGCAGGACAGCTTTTATGCTTCCAGGGGACTTTTATTAACACAGCTGCTAGAATGTCTAGTCATTTTGTGTCATGATATTTCTACTTTGGGGAGGTGGGGGTGAACATTGGATAAAATATGGAGAAAATATAAAATGCCTTCTATACCTTGAACATTAGCCTCAGTGTGCAATTGAAAACACTCTCCACATATAATAGTTGAAATTAGTCAATTTTGTTTCAAATACAGTGTGATCAAAAGGTAGAAAAGAGATCAATAATATGCATTTTAGGTAGAAATAACTGACCTTTGCCTCCCCCCACCAAATTTCTTTTGCATGAGTGAGACCTTTACGAGGGCACGGGTTTTTTTCTTCATCTTGAATCAAAACCTGTATTTTTCATTACATTGTAGTCCATTCTAAACATTATTCACAATTTTTAGATCTTCCACCACCACCAGATCCCCCTCCAGGTCAGGGTTTAAGGCAGCAAATAGGCCCGAGCCAGCATGCTGGTAACGTGGAAACCTCAACAGAGAGAAAAGGAAGCTCTCTGGAGACACCACAAGCATCCACCTTAGAAGACACAAAGAGCTCATTGGATTGTCCAGCTAGAGCATCCCTAGAGTGGCAGCGACAAACCCAAGAATGGATAAACTCCACAGAGCGCCAAGAAGATATACGGAAAGCCCTACACAAACAAAGTGTTGGACCAGGTGTGTTCTGCACAGTCCTAAGAAAGTGTGGACTTTTACCTATTTTTCCCCCCCTACCAGGTACTTAGAAATGGCAGTTGTTTAAGAACATCTGAAATATGTTTGCCTTGAATCGCTAAAAAGCTGGGATTCCTCGGCAGAGCTCACTGACACATCTTAAGTCTCATTCCCATGGGGATTGTTCCTTACCCTCTGCATAGAGGTCTGAGCTCAAGAGACCTCCAAGCTTTTTTTTACCTGGATTGTTCAGGAGACAATTTGATTTTTTTGCCTTGTAATGTTTATGTTGAATGCTTTTAAGACCTCCAAATTTTGTCTTAATGTCACTACAATCTCTGCCTTCAGCCAGTTTCGTTTTGACTGAAGTAACTAGTCATTTTGAAAGGAGACCTCCTTTCAGTCAATTCGTTGAATTCATTGAAATAACAAAAGTTGTACTGAAATGCCCAGTCACAGTATTCTCAGGAAAAAAAGAGCTTAAACAGGGCCTACAGTTTCTCCAACTGGTTAAATTTAGTGGGTTGTTAACATTTCACTGGGAAATATTCTTATTTATGAATCAAACTTCCTGGAATTGTCACAAAATAAATTTCATTATTTGTGGTTGGGTTTTTTTTTTTGGAGGAGTGGTGGTTGTTTGGGCCTATTATAGAAATACATTTTTTGGAACATTTCTTCTCGTATCAGGTTTCATTGAGTATTAAAATGTACACACAAACACAGATGACATTTGAGAGTTTCTTTATACATTGATTTTTGAACTTGGACTCCGTCTTTTCTAGATATATCCTCTACCCATGCATTTTTAATAATTATATGATATCACAACTGGGTGCTCAAAGTTTGAGAAAATGTAATATATGCAAGAACCAAAATATGTCAACTTGAATGTCGAGATTTAGTGAAACATTTAGGAAGTTCTATCATGCAGGCTGTGAGAAAAACCATGTGATTATTGTGATTTCATAAAGACCATCTAAATAGAGTGGCAGTCATCACAGTAATTGTAGCTCAAATCTAGAAAGAAAGAAAAAAAAAGGGGAGGTAGAGAAGGAGACAGGAAGAAAGAAGGAAAGAAAAAAAATGTTTCAAAATATTAGGTATTTAATAATACACATAACGAGTTATTTGTAGAGAGTTGCTGCATTTAAAAAAACTTTTTATTTACTATTTATCATTTGTTAAAATGTGTATCTCTCTTTTTCTTTTAAGTAAATACACAATCTTTAAAATAATGTGTTATATCCCAAGAAACAGCAAAAATTTAAGGAGCTTATTTTAACTAATACATGGTTCTTCATATTAATTGACTGAGAGAATGTCGCTATAATTTAAAGTAGAAAAACACCATGTTTATTCAGTCTTCATGGAAAAATTTAATTGGAGCCTCACTGAACTCCAGAAATTATGCTCAGAGATGCTTTTGTTAAACAATAAGGTTCGTTGTCTGCAGCTCTCTTTTGTAAAGAATTTAAATGTTCAAAGTGATATGTAATATTATATTTTTATCCCCAAATTTCCTTTGATTCAATCCTGTTTTAGTTCCTATTATAGGAAATGTTGGCACATGGAAATTCTTTTAATATCTGGGCCTTCTTAAACCTCTTATTTTTAATTTTACTAAAGAGTGAAATGGTAGAATAGCCCGTCTTAAACTTAATATTTAAAGTTAAATTTCTTTTGTCTCCATGTTGCTGTTTAGCTTAGCACTCTGTATTTCTTTTTCAGAGGAGACATTGGTGCCCTACAGCAAGCCCAGTTTCCCATCTCCAGGAGGTCACAGCTCATCAGGAACAGCTTCTTCTAAAGGATCCACTGGACCTAGGAAAGCCGAGGCTTTGAGGGGAAGTCACCAGCGCAATGCCAGCGACCTTCTTGACATAGGATACATGGGCTCAAATAGTCAAGGACAGTTTACAGGTGAATTATGTAAGTGCTTTAGGACATTTGAAAGGCTCTGGTGATTCAGAACTAACATTGGGTTAATAATGCAGGGGAGGTAAAAGTTTTCCTTGATCCTCTTAGGGTCCCTGGTTGGGTCTGAAAATTAACTGATAAAGATAAACAGGAGAGGGGCGCCTGGATGGCTCAGTCAGTTAAGCATCTGATTCTTGATTTTGGCTCAGGTCACGATGTTGCAGTTCATGAGTTCCATCCCCTCACCGGGCTCTGCACTGACAGTGCTGAGTCTACTTGGGATTCTCTCTCCCTCTCTCTACGCTCCTACCTTGCTCACACACTCTCTCTCAAGATAAATAAATAAAAACTTTAAAAAAAAAAGGATGAACAGGAGAAAAGCGTACATGGGTGCCTTCACAAGAGAATGAGTCATGACCCAAAGTAGTGACCAGAGCAGAAAGCTATTATATCTTTTAGACAAAGAAGCAATAAATTTGTGAAGGTTTTAGGAGACAGAAGGGTTTGGGTAGGAGCAGTCAACGGTAAAGAAGTAACTCGGAAGAAAAGGGTTAGTTTAAAAAGGTTTGTTTGCACAGTTTCTCAGCCCCCAAACTCCCTGTCTCTGGGAATAAGAATATCCTTCTTCCTGGTACAAGGAGGATATCTTTCACGTGGGGGTTTTAGGACCTGTTTCAGAGAAAAAAACTTGGGTTGAGGGAGGAAGGTCAGAGTGACCTTCCTGCTTCTGTTGGTTTCTCAAACTCTTTCAGCTTCAGATATTCAGTGTGCCAAGGTGTCATATTTGGCAGTAGTATGTCCTGAACCTCAACAATAATATTGGCACAATAGACAAATTTCAGAACAGTAGAAATCTTGCTGTGCTATGAGAAAAAAATTGTTTATGACTTTGAGCAGTTTTGGTCATAATGTAGACCATTGCCATTTCCAGCTGTCTATTAAATAAACATTTCCTCTATTTCAAGTCTGACTTATACTATACAAAAATTGCCTATCTTTAGGCAATTAATTTTAATATTTATAAGTTAATTGTTTGTAGTTTTGTTTACCTTTTTAACTGAGCATATAAAGAAAGGGAAACATATTGGCCCTTTGTTAGTTTTTAAAGAACCTCAAGAATTTTTCATTCCCTAGTTGATGTCTGTCTTTATTCATTTATTCATTTATGTATGTATGTATTCATAGAGAACCTGTGCAAGTGAGGGAGATAGAGAGGGCTGGGGGAGGGGTAGAGAGAGAGGGTGAGAGAGAATCTTGAGTAGGACCCATGCTCCACATGGAGCCACATGCGGGGGCTCGATCTCACAACCCTGAGATCATACCTGAGCCAAATCCAAGAGTTAATGCTTAACTGACTGAACCATCTAGGTACCCCTATTTATTTGTTTCTGTCTTTCTTTATTTATTTTAAGAGTCAACTTTTTAAAGTTGATTTTTGATTTCAGTTCATTTGAAGTACTTTGATTATAATAACATATTATATATATATACATATATATATGTATATATATATGTATATATATATATATATACAATTTTCTTTTTGAATAAAGAGCCAGCATTGATAGTATAACTAATCTATAAAAATATAGTATCAGCTGACAGAGAAAGATAGGATGTCACAATATGTCACAGTAAGAAGTACTGAACTCTTGGTGTTAATTTTTTTCTTGAAATTGACCACTTCTGCTATCCAATGTCCAAATTATACTTGTTGAGTATTTTCAGCTGCTTATTTGAATTCAGCTTAAAAGCAATGCTGAAGGAACAGCCTTGAGTTCCAGTCTTAGCCCAGAACAAGTAAACTACCTTCCTAATCTCCACCCCCTTATCTTAAAAATCGCATTACTATTATGCTTACATCACAGACTGGGGGATGTCATGAAATAATGGAAAGTAAAAGTACTTTCAGACTGTAAGTTATTTCTTGACTAGAGTTAGCATTATTGTTTTCTATTAGTAATCTGATTATTAGTAAGATTTGTTTATAATTTTTAATTTGAGTCATGACTACTTGGATTTTTCTTTGACTTTTAGAATAGTTAGAGATTCGCAAGAAGTGCAGAAATAGCTCTACCTGGATTTTAAATCTCCAAGTTTTGCCATTTCTTTTTCTTTCCCTTCCCCTAAGTCCATTTTCTTAACTTTACACACTCACCAAGGCTATCCGATGATGTCATCTTCGTTGATTATCTGTTTCGCTTTTTGTTATACTGGTCGGGATGAAAGACTACTTACGTTCAATACAAACTTATTTCTCATTTTTTTAATCTCTTTGTAGAGTAACTGAGAGGAGACATGCAAAGCTGCTCTGAAGGACCACCAGGTCTGAACTCATGGAAGTGATGACACTAAACAGTGCAATGAACAATTTCTTTATTTATGTACTATTAAAAGACTGTAAATGCAATGTAAAGACACACAGCCACACATATCCCACAGATATTTTACTTGTGTTCTTCTCTTAAGTACACCACCCACCTTAACTCTTTCTTGTCAGGAGTATATACAAAAGAAAGAAAACAAAACTCTCCCTCCAGGAAGAAAAGGATTTTCCTCTGTATATAATTTCTTTTGTGCGTTGCTATGCAAGCTCACTCTTTTTAGCTCTGTTCATACTATTGTCTGTTTTTATTGGTCTGTTGTACTATATGTGAATTAATAGGCTGTGGTGCCATATATTAACTTTTAATTGTGTAACTTTTATGTTTAAATTTTGCACTGCAATTTTATTTGGTGATAAGCACAAATCTCTACTCCTCGTGACATGAAGAACAAGACTGAATGTGAAGGGAGTTTCTGTACTGTAAGCTAGGCTGGATATGCTGGTTGGAACCAATCATGTGAGATGGTTTGCAGTTGGGGTGTAGAAACAGGAAGATGCAAAGGAACAGTGGTGTTGGAGAAGTCTTCCTTGAGTACCAGGGACTGAGTCAATAAAAAGAAAAGCAGAAAGGTGGCTTTTACTATTGACAAAACGCAGGGGTCAAAGAAGGAAATCTAAGTCTTAAGGCTAAATAGGTATTAAAATACACAGGTAGCAAAGATGTACTAAACTCGCTAAAAAGAGAAAGAAAAAGAAAATGAAAATGAAAGTTACATGTAGCATCAACTTTACCTGTCATTGTAATTGACCCATCTGAGAATTATAACAAGCAAAAGGAAATGAAGGTGTTTTGCAAGAGCTGTGTTTGTATTACAGTGTTTTCAAGAAGCATTTTCTGAATTACCATAATTAATCTCTCCAACTCATTAAGTCAGGATCTAATATGAAGTTCCCCAAGGAAACAAACAAAATGAACTCTAGAATATCTAGCAAATAGTTAAAGAGGCAATTTATTATTAGGACATACTCGGGCTGCTTCCAAACGCAAAAACTCTATTGCAATATCTTGTTTCATCTTTCTGATACATGTTCAGTACACACTAGAGGATAGAGCTGCATCGCTTAAATTTATGACTTTGAAAAAAATCATGCAGTCTATAGACAATTCTGTGTTTTGTTTGACTAAGAGGTGAAGTTCATGCCACCAGATGTATAGCCAAATTGTAAGTGCTTAAAAAGCAGTGCTCAGAGTATGTTCAGTTCACAGTAAGTAGATTTATCGAAAGAAACATTTTATGGTACAGTCTCAGAAATTGGCTACCGACTAAAATATGTTTGACCCATTTTGAATGAGTAAATTGAAAAGAAAAATTTTAAAGGAGAAACAATGCATGTTTATACGCTTTTTAAATAAAACCAAACCTCGTTAAGTGGACATTAATCACAGTGTCCTGCCTCATTTGTTGTCACGACTTTGAGAACAAGAAATTCCTGAACATCAGTCATGTATGGTCAAAATGAATATGGCTTCGAAATATATGTAGCCACTGTACGTGAATAGTGAAGCAGTCCAGTAGAAGAAAACTTCCCTGAAATTCCCACTTGTGACATTTTTCCATGTGCTGCCTACAACAGCTGTAAATTCGACTTCTAGTTATACTTTCTCATGTTTTCCCTACGATGTGCTCAGTAGTTGTACTCTGAAAAATATTCGATGTAACGATTAGAATCAATCGTAAAATATGGGACCCGCTTAAGTGATGATTCATACTCCATGCATTATTGGCTCAGCCACCAATTCTATGTCATATTTGTAATAGCAAAGGGATAACATAATTTGATGTTTCCCTTTTTTGTTTCCTGAGACTGCATCAAGACAGGCAAGAGTGGAGGAAACTAATGTTCTTTATGGGCCCCAATGTTTTTGGTGCCATGTGGTTCATTTCTTCACTGAAGAGAAAAAACTGTTCTGAAACATACTTATTAAATGCTGTAGCAACTTTCTATAATCAGTGCCTGATTTGAATGCAGTTTGGTTTCTCTGGGTCAGATTGTCCACGGAAGGTGAAAAGTTTCTGTGAAGAATGAGTACATAACATTCACAACAGTAGGATGTGAGGTATTTAATTTCTACTTATGCGGTTCCCTACTTCACCTCTTTCCGTTTAAAAACAAAGTTTTGTTCGTGTTCCCTCTTTATGCTATTCTATAACCCACTTTAGATTAAAGCTTTAGTTCATTACATTTATTACACATAGACTTTGTACCCTGGTAAAAGGTGTATGTGACTAATAAACCAAGACTTCAAAATTACGTGTATGCAAGTGACTTCGGGAATAACATAGGACATAGCCTTAAACCTTCTTATTTCAGTGTATAAAAATTAACTGTTCTGGTTAGCTTTTGGCAACAGAGACCTTATGGTTGGTTACCTAGAATGTTCTTTTAGAATATTCCACATACCCTTTTAAATCTAATTTTAAATAAATTGGTCAGTAAAATCTTGCACCCAATATATCATCCTCACAGATTTAGAACAAGATCAAATGCTGTGGCAATCCAAATGACTTCAGGAATCCTGGGAAAAAAATCAAAAGCTTTTGACAACTTGTTATATGTAAAAAGCTTCTAATCAGCATAAGTCAGAATGTCGTTAAAGAAATACAAACATGTATGAGAATGTCATTTTTTTCATTTTGTAGCCCAGTCAATGAATGTCATTAGAAATCACTGAGCTCACTCTTCTTCAGGTCTAAACAAGGCCTGTATAAGTTGTCAGAGGGAAATCTGGATGAAAGAGAATGTAAA